CACTCTGTTGGCTCATACTTGTCAAGTGAACAAAAAATGCGTGCTATGAAGTTTATTAATGGTTTGGCAAAAGACATGATGTTGCCAACTGCAATAGCAGAATTAGGTCACTACATGGGCAAACTCCATTTCTTTGCAGAGAATTTTTTGTGGGAAGTACTACCTACGGTTGATGCAATAACTTGGTGGAAAGGTTATTGTGGAGATCTCTCACTTTCAAAATTAGCTGTACGGATTCTCACAATGCCATGTACATCAGCTGCCACCGAAAGAAGCTTTAGCACTCAAAGTTTAATTCACACAAACAGAAGAAATAGGTTAACAAGCAAAAGAGCTATAAAACTAAATTATATTCAGCACAACAGTAAATTGTTTAGTTCTCAAGAACCTACGACGGTTCAGGATGACAGAAACTTCCAGCATCAGCAATCAAATATTAATAACCCTGAAGCACCACCTACTAGCAGTTCCAAAGAAAAGTACTCACGAAAATCATTCTCAACCAATCAAGTTTGTTCAGAGAGTTCTGATTCTGACTCTGTAAGTTACATAGGTACAGTACAGCACCTGTATGTCCTATTACAATTTATTTTCTGTATAGAATATTTCGTGGACGTCGGATATAGAAGGAAATGGAAACTCTGACGATGACTTTAGTTACAATGATACCCCGTCTGATGCAGAAGAGGAGCATATTGATGAAACTCCCCAAACCAAAGGACAGAAACGCAAACGCGATACTACTTGTCTACTTAGTGCAAGTCATATTGCTGGTTCCGACAGTAAAGATGATTCATTAGAAGTACTGGTAATATAAGTGAACAAGTACCTTTTCCGATATATTATATTATTTTACTTTCAGAACTGCAGTATACATAATGCAGATGAGTCCGTATATGATCCTGATCCCCAAGAATCCCTACTCGAATCTGATCTTCAGTCAATAAGCTGTAAGTCGTTTTACAAAGAAACAATACCGATAACACGCAGAAAGTAGCGTAAAGTACAAGTACAAGTGATTCAACCATTTTAGTTAATTAAAGAAGACTGTGAATTTCTTTTTTATTAGTTTGATAAGTAGTTCATTTGTTTCGTGCTATAGCATAAGTTTATGTCTATTATACAATGTTACTTTGGGTTAGGAGTTTAAGTTTTTAGTTTTTCTTATGTTGATTTACAATATACCTACTTCTAAACGTATTACCCATGAGTCTTTTCCAGCAAAGTATCAAACATCCACACTACACAATAAAATATCTTCCAAAACTCGTATATTTCATAAATTTCATAAATTACAGACAAAACTGTAAGTTACGTCATAAATTACGTGGTAAGTTACAAAAAGATAAATTTCATGTTACAGCTTGAAGCCCTTCAATATCTTCAGAGTCCACTTACAAATTTGTCAATGTTGGATCAATTTCTTAACATCAAAAAGTTATTTATAAAATACAACACACCACTTCCGTCATCGGCTCCTGTTGAAAGGCTGTTTTCATACGCAGGGATGATCATGCGACCAAAACGTCGATGCATGAATGATGATACATTTGAAAAACTTTTAATAATTAAAGCTAATGTAAATTTTATTGCAAATAAATAAATTGTAAAACCATTTTGTATTCGAAATGTTATTTCAAATACCTATTTTCTATTTTGTATTTTAAATAAATGTACAAAAACCATTTTGCATTTTACATTTTAAATACAATATCTGAATACATTTTGCATTTTCCATTTTAAATACTTATTTAAATGCATTTTACCCACCTCTGTTAAAGTACATTCAATAAATTAGTCAACTTATTTCGCGGACTCCTAAGGGATTTATAAATATATCATCAGGTTATGGGAGCAGCGTGCTTCGTTGCGGGATAAGTAATTTTTTCGTGATTTGTGAAATTCGTATTCTTCGTAAGAATTGCGTTCATGTTCCTCTTTTTTGAAAATGGAAAAGGTAACGCTTCCGAAGTTCGACGGTACTGATTTCAATGTATGGAAGTTCCAAATGCAATCGTATTTGGATGTACATGGACTACTTAATGTCGTAGATGGATCATCGTCGCAGCCAAATGAAGACCAGGCACAAAAATTAAGTGAGTGGAATAGACTTGACAAAAAGGCAAGGATGACCATAGAGTTTGCGCTAGAGAAGAACCAAGTACGGCACATAATGAATTTAAAAACGTCCAAGCAGATGTGGGATCGTTCAGTTTCAATTTATGAAATGAAAAACGAGACTTCGGTTCACATGTTATTGCAACAATTCTACAAGTATGAGATGGCTCAAAGATGACAGTTTCGCAACATATCGCCACCGTTGAAGAAATGGCACAGCGCTTGGAGGATTTAGAACAACCCCGTTCTGAAGCCGAAGTTGTTGCCAAAATTCTACTCAGTTTGCCAGAGCCAGAGGAATATAGACCGTTTATCGCCGCCTGGGATTCCATTGATAAAAAAGGAGCAGAAAAAGTGTAATTTAGTGCCACGGTTGTTAAAACAAGAAATGCTTCAGTGTGGCGGTAAGTCAGAATTATCTAATGAAAGCGATGGGCTAGTTTGTTCGCGAAATGTCTTGCAGAAACGAAATTTCGGAAAATCTACATCAAAATCCGGGTTCGCGGGTAAATGCAATTTTTGCAAGAAAACCGGCCATAAAAAGAAGGACTGTTTTAAACTTTTTAAGTTTTAAGTAAGAGCGTTGCTAATACTGCAAGCGGTTCTAATAATTCGGGTTCCGATAGTTATTTATTTTCGGCATCTAATTCTAACGTCGTAGGCGATCGCAATATGATATTTTACGCGGATTCGGGCGCGTCACAACATATGTCACCTTGTCGCCAATGGTTCGACAATTATGAAGAATTTACGATTTGTAAGCGGAAGGCTATAACAGTCGGAGACGGTAAACAAATCATTGCCCAAGGCGTAGGCACCATAAATATTGGAAGTAATTTAGGGAATAGGTCACAAAAACACATATTAACAAATTTGTTGAGATACCCCAACCTTAGCAACGTCCTGTGAATATGATTGTCGATACGAAGCACCCTATACATTATGTTAGTTACACAAGCTGCAAACAGAAATCTGGTGGGATTACAGAAAAGGGAAAGAGAGCGAAGATGAGACGGATGGAATTTCTTGAAGACCACATGTGTTTACAATTTATTTCAAACACCTGCAGTCCACTTTTTTCTTAGAAATGCGTGAACTGCAGGGAATGGGCGATTTTTGGGTGGTTTAGGGGTATTAGCAGATCAAATTACCGCGTGGCTTGGGTTGGTCAAATAAATAGGATTTAACATGTGTGTTCATGGTCTTTGTCTTGTAACCAGCTGAAGTGTAAAGTACGGCTTGTCTTGAAATATTTGGTTATACCTTATAATCATTGCTGTGTGCTTTTGCTTTGTTGTATCAGGTGAGGTATTTGCTTTATTCAATTAATCTATAAATGTGTGTAACTTGAATGTAGATTGTAACTCTTTACTTATGTACTTACTGAATTCAGTCACTTGTACCTTTAATGTGTAACCTTTGTTGGTATTGGCAATCATGTTTCATTGTCGGTAGGGCTGTATCTGTGCTGTACATACTTGCATGTGTACAGTGTATTGTGCTTTTTAGTCACTCTCGATTATTTCATTGCACTTCATTATTTTTGCTTATTTGGGACTGTGAGTAATCAAGAGGGAAGTGTGCTTGTTTAGAGGGGATCGAGCTATTCAAGTTTATACGGGCCTTGGTGAACCTAACACTAACATTTTCACTCGTTCCGAACCCAACAACTTTAGCCCACGCCTACAGGCACTCCACTGGGCCTGGGTAATCCTCCCGCCCGGCGAGGTATATTTGACATCTCTTAGTTTTGTCCGATGTATGTGTAGTAATACCTAGGGAATGGCTCGATCCCATTTTGGTTACTCATAGCGTGTTTGTAGTAGTTACCCCGGTTTCGAGAGGGCTCAAAAGTGCTGTACATTAGATGTTGTTCATTATAGGACTACTCCGAATTAGGTTTTCCTGCAGTTTTCCTAATTCGTAAGGCAAATGCCGGAGTAGTATAGAACCAAGATCACGATCTTAGTGCACTCGGAGTGGTCCCCGAGTGACAGATTCTCGCGGGAAATGTAAGCGAGAATATTCAAATAGGCAGCCATGTTAGTTTGGCATTTCCGCTACTACAGAATATGGTCCAATATCCCGGTGTGACTTGAAGTTGGCGTTAGCTCGCCGAGATATTAGAAGGCTAAGATCATCACAGTGTTATACGTTCCACGAATTGACCGAAACTTATTTTCAACTCATTTTTGATCGCCCGTTATATGTAACATAGTGTTACGGTACACCCTGTTAATACAGAATAATCGCACTACAAAACAAGCGCGCATGTCATTGAAGATATGAGTACCAGCGTTTCGGCCAAATACGTGAACCGGTCCTTCTTTCTCGAATGCAACGCCATGTGAAAGCCAGAAATGTAATATTCTCATATTACTAATAAATATTAATTAATGATCTGCATTTAAAACACTTATATGTGCAAGGAAGTACCTAAATATATTATTGTTTTCCGATTATATAACTATGGAAATTTGTAATTATAAATAATTATTGTATTCGTATTTTGTTCATATTTGTCACCTGTGTTTGGAATCTTTCAACAAACCAGAAGCGCATCGCATCGTTGTTTGACGTCGAACGATTTTCTTATTTAATTCTGTTTCAACTACCGACGCAATAAAAGGCATCTTAGGGTAATGTTTTTTTAAAGAATGTATGCTGCATCTGCATCAGATACTATTTGTTTATCATTTTCCGGAATCAGAGTACCTACATAATCGAAGGAAAAAAACTGACTTGAAGAAGATTTGTTCTTAAACTTATATTCGGATTTTCCGCTACTGCAGCCAAAACGTTGAATGTATTGTCGTTTTCCTGGCGGTTTCGACGGACATTTTGAACGTTATTGCACTTGCAGGTAATTAACTAATTTATAAGCAAGTATAAATTTAATATAAGTACGTCAAAGGCAAGTAATGAAACGTGATCCCTGTTTTTTTAGGTAATTCCAAAGCATATTTGATTTATTGTAAAATGCACCTTTTTATTTTGTCGATTTCTACGGTTTTAAAAAACGGAAAATTATAATATAAGTAATCATATGAACAGATGCAGTATTTTTCTCACTTATAATTGCACAAGAGGTTTGTATTTTACCGAGTAAATTTGGGTTGTTTAGGTAATGAAAATCTGTTGCCTAGCAATTAGACGAGAAAAACTGTCAACTAATAAAAATGCGACACCGCAGTGCAAATTGGCATTTCGGGCATTCAACTTCAGTACATTAAATTTGATTCAATAGATTTTATCCCACTGTGGACCTCATGGCCCCTATTGGGGTTTATTTCTAATATTTTTTTGAGACGGTGCCAAACACCGTCACAATACAATTAAAAACTACTTTTCAAAACAACTTACCTTCACATGTTCAGCTAGTACCGTGATTAACGCCTCGCATACTTCTGGAATAATCGTTGAAACACTTTGTTTCGATATTTTGAATAGGTAACTACATCAAACTCGTGTAGGAGACACCCGTTGTTAAGAACCGCAAAGTTACTGCAACTCTTTCCTTTGATATTACCTTTCGATTGATAATTAGTATTTTGTTTTGAGATTTAAGGCCCAATCATTTTTAATAACTTATCAAAATTAGCGGTACTCATTCCGTTAAAATTCTAAAATAAACTTTGATCCTCCAATAGCAACTCGCTTAGCAAATTACTTCCATTACGACGACTTTTAAATAAACTCCTTTACCACCATCTTCCAGGAGCGCGTGTTCGCTTTTTTGCAGAAACCATTTTTAAAAACAAAAAGGCTCCGCAGGCAATTATAACGTTTTCTTCTTCGTCAACTTCAGCTTCTCGCACTGCTTCTTCCCAATTCTTCATAAATGGTTATGCAAAATGCAACATGCTGCAACTACACACGGCACAAAAATGTGGTGAATGTCAATGCGTTTCAAAATGCAGCGCCAACGGGCTTTTAATCTTCCAAAAGCGATTTCATCACAAACACTTCCACTATTCATATATACATTGAAAGAGTCCTCTTCTGGCGTTAGCCTGGCATAGTTTGTGAATCCTTCCATAAGCCAGGGCAGAAGAGGGTAAGCTGGATCACCCATGATCATATATGATAATCACAACCCCATAAAAATGCTTGGGATTCTGTGGAATCATTCGTGCA